GTTTGCAAGACTCACAGCAATTCCAGCAGAATGATGATTAGGCAAAAAGCAATAGGGAAATGTGAGAAGAGAACAAACTAGGTTTCTGGATCATCTTATGGCGGTTGGAGGAACCTCAGCCAATCACAATTACAGCATTCTCTTAAAGATACAACAGTATTAAATAACTATCCGGGTTTATATATTGCTAACCCAATTGTTAGGTGACTATCATTCCTAACAATACTAAAGGGACATTTCTCAGGATGCTGCATTGTCGTATTTAATGCAACCACATGGGATGATCACAAAACACAAACATAAATTGGTAAATTCCCATGTTGTACTTTTCAGCTCTAGACAATCATAGTATTTGCAGAGTCCTTAGGGGAAAGGTATTGAGGGGCGAAGGGGGAAGTATATTTCTTTATTGAAACCACTCATCAAACAAAGAAGCAGAACAAAAATGCTATCTGGTCCCATATAGTGGATTCAAAGCATCCCCAACCTTGTCTTTTCCTGCAAAATATGAGTCATGTACCAATAGCTTTGCCCTCCTCTCTTTCTTGTTTTGAATTTCTTGTCCAAATGTAATTGGATTTTTTGGCTTCATATCTAGGCTCAGATTGCCTCTCTTGGGACATTTTATGGTGATACAGTTTTCTTCCAGATAATAGATGGGTATTTAGTTATGAGGAAGGCGATGTCTCTTTCAATAATATAAATTAAAATTGTTTTATTTTAGCAAAAAAAGAATTAAAACTATACAGAGAAAATTGGGATAGGAAAATGAAGAGAAAAACCAAGAAATATTACAAAAGTTTTTCTTTTGTATTGTTGCTTAAACTTAATATTTCAAAAGCAGAAAAAAAAATGAAGTGGCATAAAAGTGCATTTATCATGTTTTTCTTAGAACAATTAGCTGAACTCTACTTTGTTTATCATTATTTTAGGTAGTAATTTATCAAATCAAAAACACAACATGCAAAATTTTCCAATATTTATATTTTGGTCAATTGTAAGTTCAAAAAAACAGATGAATTTGTGGTATGAAATCATTTCTTAAATAAAGCCACTCAGTGAAACAGAATCTTTATAATTGGCATATCTTTGGAAAATACAGCTGATATGAAAATGCTAAATTTATATAATCTGTATGTAAGGTGTTTGTAATTCACAGCATTTATTTCTTAATCAAGCTAATAATATATCATATCTGGAAATAGTTGTTGAAATCCACTGTATTTATTAATAAACTCTTATTGATTTTGTTAATCAATGTGTGCATTGGACAATAGGGGTTATAAAAATTGACTTTATATCTAACGTGCTCCCATATCTACAAAACATATGAAAAGAGAAATCTATTTTTTGTCAAGTTAAGTAACTATAAACAGGCAGGTACAAAAGTTATCCTCAGGGGAAGACAGTATCTTACAGGTTTTATATCTATGATGTAAAAGGTATATGAGTCAGAAAATTGCTTGCGGAATGGCTGGGAATGGAGTTGCTCAAGCATTTTATGTAGATACTTGATTTACAACTATTTGCTTAGCAACTGTTGAAAGTTATGGTGCTGTTGAAAAAAGTGATTTAAAATTGGTCTTCACACTTATGACCATTGCAGAATCCCTGCAGTCAAGTCATGTTCTCAAAATTCAGGCACTTCGCAACCAGCATGTATTTATAATAGTTGCAGTGTCCTGAGGTCAAATGATTGCCATTTGCAACCTCTTCAGCTGGCTTCCTACAAGCAAAGTTAGTATAGGAAACTGGATTCACTTAACAACCATGGCAGTTTGCTTAACAACTGTGACAAAATATGTCATAAAATTGGGTACAACTCATTTAATGACTGCCTCACTTAGCAACAGAAGTTCTGATCCTAATTGTGGTTGTAAGTTGAGGACTACCTGTATAGTTTTCATAGATTGTAGTAACGGGATATGGTTGGTACAAGTAGAGAAAGATTAGTAGATCTTTGATACCTGACTCAGGGAGGTGGGTTAGATTACTTTAAATCAGATTTAAACCCAAGTGACTTGGAATCACACTTTCTCAAGTACCGTATATACTCGAGTATAAGCCGAGTTTTTCAGCACATTTTTTGTGCTGAAAAAAAAAACCCTCGGCTTATACTCGAGTGACAGATTCCCCTCTGAAAAAACCCACCGTCGTGTGAGAATGCTCAGACATGAAATCTATCTGCCTGAAAATAAGTGTGTGTGTGTGAGGGGGGGATTTTAACAGAGGGAAGACGTAGGGAGAAGGCAAAAGCCACGGAAGATCCTTCAGGGGAAACTGAGGGGGAGACTCACCCTTGGTCCAGATGAGCCCCCTTCCCTGCCCCTTAGGAAGCAGAGGCTGCCAGCAAGGGCAGGCAAGCCCCACTTCGCGGACTCCGTCCGTCCTCGCTCCTACCCACCCACCCACCCACCCAAAGCCACGAAGTCCCCCAATCACGCAGCCCAGAATCGCCCTCCCCTCAGGGGGCAGCAACAATGCCCTGCGTTTCCCGAGACAAGAAGCTCCGCCGTGCAATGAAAGCGCCCTGGCTCTAGGCTCACGGGCTCAGAAAAC